CCGCCCCCCCCCCCCTGCACCGGTGACTACCCGCCCCTCCCGGCTGCAGGCGCTGGCCCGCCCGCGAGGGGGGGGCCCTGGGAGCTGGGGGGGCACGGAACGAGAACCTCACCCGAGGCCTGGCTGTGGGCAGCAAACTCGGTTCGAGTGACCACGAGCTGATTCGGCGGGAGTAGATCTGCAGCGAGGGGCCTTGATTTCCAAAGAGGAACAGAGAAACCTGACTTAGAGGTGTGGACTGGCCCCCAGACGGGGGGCACCTTGGAATTACAGGAGCCAGTTGCAGGGAGCCTGTGTCCCAGGCCAGGGCAAATGGGGAGGCTGGCAGAGGCAGCTGGCAGATCAAGCAGGCGCTGAGCAAGCAGGAAGCCTGCAAGGAATGGGCAGGGAAGCGCCGGCTCCTTGGAGTCTGGAAGAGCAGGGAGACTGCCAGGCCGGCGCCTGCACAGGGAATTAAGCGGCCCAGGGTCCAAGAGGAATGAGGAAAAGGTGGGTCCGCCAAGCCCGCCGCGCTGGACGGGGTGAGAGGCCCTGGGGGAGTTTCAGGGCGGCTAATGGCCGTGAGGACGTGGAAGTCGCAATTGCCACATCCGAGGTGGGAGTCCTGCTCAGGCAGTTTCGTGGAACCAGACGGGGGGCCCAGGAAACCTCCATGCAAGACCTGCCTCCCGAAATGGCAGCCCAGGCGCGAGGGTTTACTGAATCTCTAAGCATGGCGCTCGTCCTCCCTGGCTGGGGAGTGGCTGATCCAGGAGCCTGCAGGCCTCTCCTGCCTGGGCTGAGCGCCACATGGGACAGGGTTCCGAGAGAGAGTGCAGGACATGGCAGGACCCAGCAGTGGAAGGGGAGCTCTGGGGCTGGGGGGAGGTTACTAGTGGAATTCCTTGAGGATTGGCCTTGGGACCAATCCCGTGTCACATGTTCCTTGACGACCTGGGCACAGAAAGTGGGGCTGAGCTGTGCAGGGACGCCCTGAGGGTGGTGAGGTGGGGGGCTGCAGTACGAGTCCTAGGCGTGGGATGGAGCGTGACAGTGCCGAGTGCAGGGCCGTGCACGTGGGGACTAGCCAGGGAGCTTTGCTGCAGGCTGGGGAGGAAGGGAGAGAGGAGCAGAGCGGCCAGGGTGGGGCGTGCGGTCACTGGAGGGCTGTGGAACAGGCGGATGGTCCCGTGGGCTAGGCGCTGCTGAGAGCCCTTCCGGCGCCCTGCCTCCGCGGTGCAGACGGGGATCCCGGTGGGCTGCCAGGGCGGTCCGGGGGATGGAGAAGCTGCCTGTGTGGGCGGACTCGGGTGCAGACAGCGCCTGGGGGAGAGCCGGTCCTGCTTTGTGAGCGCCTGGGGGATCGCGATCGGCTCTCGGCGTCGCGCCAGTGGGGCCCTGCAGCTAACGGCTCTGAACTGGCCACCGGCAAGTGGGGCCGTGACACTGGCAGGGTTCTAGGCAGCGAGGG